CATGTGCAGAAAGCAGAAACTGGACCCCTTCCTGACACATTACACTAAAATTAACTCTAGATGGATTAAAGACTTAAACATAAGACCTAACATCATAAAAACCCTAGAAGAAAACATAGGCAAAACCATTCAGGACATAGGCATAGGCAAGGACTTCATGACTAAAACACCAAAAGCATTGGCAACAGAAGCCAAAATAAACAAAAGAGATCTAATTAAACTCCAGAGTTTCTGTACAGCAAAAGAAACAATCATTAGAGTGAACCGGCAACCAACAGAATGGGAAAAAATTTTTGCAATCTACCCATCTGACAAAGAGCTTATATCCAGAATCTACAAAGAACTAAAACAGATTTACAAGAAGAGAACAAACAAACCCATTCAAAAATGGATGAAGGATGTGAACAGGCACTTTTCAAAAGAAGACATATATGAGGCTGACAAACATATGAAAAAATGCTCATCATCACTGGCCATTAGAGACATGCAAATCAAAACCACATTGAGACACCATCTCACACCTTTTAGAATGGTGATCATTAAAAAATCAGGAGACAACAGATGCTGGAGAGGATGTGGAGAAACAGGAACGATTTTACACTGTTGGTGAGAGTGTAAATTAGCTCAACCATTGTGGAAGACAGTGTGGTGATTCCTCAAGGATCTAGAAATAGAAATACCATTTGACCCAGCAATCCCATTACTGAGTATATACCCAAAAGATTACAAATCGATCTGTTATAAAGACACATGCACATGTATGTTCATAGCGGAACTGTTTACAATAGCAAAGACCTGGAACCAACCCAAATGCCCATTGATGTAGACTGGACAAGGAAAATGTGGCACATATACACTATGGAATACTATGCAGCCATAAAAAACAATGAGTTCATGTCCTTTGTAGGGACATAGATGAATGTGGAAACCAGCATTCTCAGCAAACTGACACAAGAACAGAAAATCAAACACCACATGTTCTCACTGATAGGTGAGTGTTGAACAATGAGAAAACATGGACACAGAGAGGGGGGCATCACACACTGGGGTCTGTTGTGGGGTGCTAGGAGAGGGACAGCAGGGGTTGGGGAGGTTGGGGAGGGATAACATGGGGAGAAATTCCAGATGTAGGTGATGGGGGGATGGAGGCAGCAAACCAACTTGCCATGTATGTACCTATGCAACAATCCTGTATGATCTGCACATGTACCCCAGAGCCTAAAGTACAATAAAGAAAAACTCCCGAACAATAAAAATTTTTAAAAAAAGAAAAATGAGGGAAAATACAAAGAAATAAAATTATAAATGAAAACGTAGACAATGTAAATGATACTGGAGAAATTCAAAGGATATATGAATATATTTGGAAATCCAAAAGAAATGGACAAATTCCTAGACACAAACAACCTACCAGGATTGAACTATAAGAAAATCCAAAATCCAAACAGACTGGTAACAAATAACAAGGTCAAAGCTGTAATAAAAAATCTCCCAGTAAAGAAAAGCCTGGAAAACTGTGGCTTCATTGTTGTGCTAAGCATTACCAAAACCTAGTGAAACTATTCTGAAAAATAGTTCCATATTCATTCTACAAAGACAATGTTACCCTGATATTAAAACCAAAGACACAACAACAATAAAAAAAAAAAAAGAAAACTACAGGCTGATATCTCTGAAGAACACTGATGTAAGAATCCTCAACAAAATACTAGCAAACTGAATTCAACAATACATTAGAAAGATCATTTATCATGAATAAATGGAATGTATCCCTTGGATGCAAGAATACTTCAACATATAAAAATCAATCAATGTGAGTCATTAAATCAACAGAATGTTCAAATGATGCTGAAAAAGCATTTGATAACCTTGACCATCCCTTCATGTTAAAACCCTAAAATAGGCCGGGCGCGGTGGCTCACGCCTGTAATCCCAGCACTGTGGGAGGCCGAGGCGGGTGGATCACGAGGTCAAGAGATCGAGACCATCCTGGTCAACATGGTGAAACGCCGTCTCTACTAAAAATACAAAACATTAGCTGGGCATGGTGGTGCGTACCTGTAATCCCAGCTACTCAGGAGGCTGAGGCAGGAGAATTGCCTGAACCCAGGAGGAGGAGGTTGTGGTGAGCCGAGATCGCGCCATTGCACTCCAGCCTGGGTAACGAGAGTGAAACTCTGTCTCAAAAACAAACAAACAAACAAAAACCCTAAAATAACTGGGGATAGAAGAAACAGACCTCAATGTAATAAAAGCCATGTATAACAGGCCCACAGCTGGTAGCATACTGAATGCATACGGAAAAGCATATTTTTCTCTAGGAGCTGGAACGTGACAAGTACACCCACTTTCACCACTGTTATTCAACCTAGTACTGGAAGCCCTAGACAGTGCAGCTAGAACAGCAAACAGATATAGGGCATCTAAATTATAATAGAAGAAGCAAAATTACCCTTGTTTGCAGATGATATGATTCTGTATTTGGAAAAATCTAAAGATGCCATAAGATAACTATTACAGCTGCTAAACAAATTCGGTACATTTGCAGGATACAAAATCAATATACAAAAATTAGTAGAATTTCTATGTGTCAACAGTGAACAACCTGGAAAAGAAATCTTTAAAAATCTCATTTACAATAGCCATAAATAAAATCTAATACCTAGGAATTAACCAAGTAAATAAAAGATCTCTACAATCAAAAGCATAAAACACTGAAGAAAGAAATTGAAGAGGACACTAAAAAATGGAAAGGGATTCCATGTTCATAGATAAAATGTTCCTATTCCTCAAAGCAATCTACACATTTAATGCAATCCCTATCAAAATACCAATGGCAATCTTTACAGAAATAGAAAAAAACAATTCTAGTATTTACATAGAACCACAAAAGACCCAGGATAGCCAAAGTTATCCTAAACATAAAGAACAAAACTAGAGGAATCACATTACCTGACTTCAAATTATGCTACAGAGCTATAGTAACCAAAACAGCATGGTACTGCCAAAAACAGAAATATAGCCAATGGAACAGAATATAAAATACAGTAACAAATTCATGTGCCTACAGTTAACTCATTTTCAACATAGGTGCCAAGAATGTACACTGGGAAAAAGTCTCTTCAAAAAATCATACTGGAAAAACTGGATATCCGTAGGTAGAAGAATGATACTAGACCTTTATTGACAAATACAAAAATAAATAAATAATAAATAAATAATGGATTGAAGACTTAAATCTAAGACCTGAAACTATAAAATTACTATAAGAAGACTGAGTGTGGTGGCTCACACCTGTAATCCCAGCATTTTGAGAAGCCGAGGAGGACAGATCGCTTGATGTAAGGAGTTTGAGACCAGCCTGACAAACATGGTGAAACGCTGTCTCTACCAAAAAACACAAAAGTTAGTAGGGTGGTGTGGCACGCTTCTGTAATTCCAGCTTCTTGGGCAATTGAAGTGGGAGAATCACTTGAACCTGGGAGGCAGAGGTTGCAGTGAGCCAAGATCATGCCACTGTACTCCCGCCTGGGCAACAGAGTGAGACCCTTTCTTGAAACAAAGTTACTACATGAAAACTTTGAGGAAACTCTCCAGGAAATTGGAATAGACAAGAATATCTTGAGCAATACTGCATAACCACAGGCAACCAAAGCAAAAATGGGCAAATGGGATCAAAAGTTAAAAAGCTTCTGCACAGAAATGGAAACAAGAAAAAATGTGAAGAGACAACCACAGAATGGGAGAAAATATTTGCAAACTACCCATCTGAGAAGGGATTAATAGCCAGATTATATGAGGAGCTCAGACAACTTCACAGTCAAATAATCTAACAATCTGATCAAAAATGGGAAAAAGACACGAACAGATATTTCTCCAGAGAAGACATACAAATGGCTAACAGGCTTATGAAAAGCTACCGAAAATCATTGATCATGAGAGAAACGCAATTCAAAACTACAATGAGATATTCTCTCACCCCAGTTAAAGTGGCTTATATTCAAAAGTCAGGAAATAAAACATGCAGAAGAGGATGTGGAGAAAAGAAACCCCTCATGCACTTTTGGTGGGAATGGAAATTAGTAAGCCACTATGGAGAACAGTATGTATCTTCTTCAGCTCTACAAATAGAGCTACCTATGATCCAGCAATCTCACTGCTGGGCATACACCCAAAAGGATGAAAATCAGCGTATCAAAAGATGTTTGTACTCCCATGCTTACTGCAGCACTGTTCACAACAGCTAAGATTTGGAAGCAATCTGTTATTCATAGATGAATGGATAAAGAAAATGTGGTACACGTACATATACACGATGAAGTGTCATCCAGCCATAAAAAAAAAAAATTTTGTCATTTGCAACTGCATGGACAGAACTAGAGATCATTGTATTAAGTGCAATAAGCCAGGCACAGAAAGACAAGTATCACATGTTCTCACTTATTTGTGGGATCTTAAAATTAAGACAATTGAACTGACAGAAGGAGAGAGCAGAAGGCTGGGTTACCACAGGCTGGGAAGGGTATTGGCGCACTGAGGGGTAGGTTGAAATGGTTAATGAGTGCAAACAAATTGTTAGAAAGAATGAATACGACCTACTATTTGATAGCACAACAGGGTGACTATAGTCAATAATAATTTAATTGTATATTTTAAAATAACGAAAAGAGTGTAATTGAATTGAATCAAAACATCTCACGTACCCCCCTAAATATATACGCCGGTTATTTACCCACAAAAATTAAAACCAAAAATAGAATAGATTAAAAAAAAACAATATTTCTGAAGTCTTCCTCCATTTTGTGATCTTTGCTGTTACTCTTCAACAGAGCTCTGAGTTTCTTTGAGTGGGAACAAATTCTATGCTCTTATCTTTGTGTTTAGCAAAATGTACCATAGGCACTTTATCTCGCTGATTACCTTGTCTATTAGAAACCATATTTTATTCTAATGAAAGGAGTCAACATAAAGAAATCTCTGAAATCCTGGGCCTTACACCTCATCTCACACCTCATCTCAAATATCTTGAATTCCACATGAACAGGCAATCTGTCATTTTTCTCTGCATTTTGGAGAATGTCAAAAGAGTATTGATTATGATTATAATTATCATGCAATAATTGATTATAACATGGTTATAAACCATGTTAATTTGTCATTTTAAAATTTCACAAATAATTTCTTTTTTCAGCAATGTTTTATTTACAATGTCTCACCCATATTCTCATACACTTTAGAGTTGGGGTTGAGGGAAAAAATCTTAAATTTTCTTGAGGTTCATTTGTTATTTTCTTAGTAACCAAGAGTGACTGGATGCAGGTTCCAAGTTCCTTTTGTAGCTTCATATTTCATGCCAGTTTAGAAAGTTTTCAGAAAATACCAGCTGTGTTAAAAAAATGCTAATCAGGTGTAAAACTTTTTTTTTTTTTTTTTGAGACAGAGTCTGGCTCTGTCATCCAGGCTGGAGTGCAGTAGCACTGTCTCCGCTCACTGCAACCTCTGCCTTCGGGGTTCAAGCGATCTCCTCCTGCCTCAGCCTACCCAGCAGTTGGGACTACAGGCATGCACCACCACGCCCGGCTAATTTTTGTATTTTTTTAGTAGAGATGGGGTTTCGCCATGTTGGCCAGGCTGGTCTTAAACTCCTGACCTCAAGCAATCCACCCATCTCGCCCTCCCAAAGTGCTGGGATTACAGGCTTGAGCCACCATGCCGGGCCTCAGGCTGTACAACTTTTGAACAGTTAGCCTAAGCAACTTGATATTTACTGAGAAAAAATATGTATTTTAATAAACCGATTTTAAAAAATATACTGTGGTAACATTTTACTTAAAGAAAACAATATTTTTTTTCTTTGAAACATGCTCGATTTAATGAATTCTTGTTGCTAAAGAATGCTTCACCTTCAGCTTGTAAAGAGAAAGTAAAGAAAAGAAAAATCAAGAATGCTTTATTCGAAGTTTCTAGTATGGGTCATACTATGTAAGAGTATTTTCTGATTACAGAAAATCAGACCATGAAAACTGCAAGTGATTATTGCATTGTTGATGGTGACACTTTTGTAATGAAAGAAATTACTAATAAAAATATGTATGTTTGCTTCTATAAAAATTGAAATTTGTGTAGGCCAAAAACAGAACAGAGAGGCAAATCACAACACTTATCTGTCTACGTATGTTGTGTATATATGTGTGTACCTGTGTCACATGTAGCACACATATAGTATGTTTGCACATGTTATGTGTATGTACGCATGTATGTACAAGCACACATGTGGATGAATAAAGTGATAGAAATTTGAGTGAGATAAATTACAACTCTTTAATTTAGTAAAACATAGATAATAATATTCAATTTTAGTGAAGATTTAGTGATATAGATAATTTTATATACTACTATTAAGGATAGAAAATGGTACAAACCTATTGGAAAGTGTTTTCTACAGATTTACCATGTACCATGAAATAAAATGAGATGCAATTAGCAGGAAATTTATTTGAATAAATCTTTTAAGAGATTAAAATATTACACAGCACATATAATTTAAAAAGCAAATGTTTATGTGTATATATTCTTACATATTCTGCAATTGTTTACTAATTCCTTTTGTGCATAATAGTTAATACACTTAGGAAAATAATTTGAAATAACACACTTGCAAGTGTCAGTAGTGGTTATTGGCTCTATCAGTGATTTTTCTTCTTTGTATCCTTCTACATTTTCAAAATGTCATCTAATGTTATCTAATCAACATTTATTTAACAATGAAAATATATTGATTTTTTATTTCCTCAAAAATGATATCAAATAGCCTAAATAAACCACAACAACAGGGTTTGGAACAAGAAACATTTAAAATGTTGTAGTAGTTATAAGTGTTTCACACAGGAACATTCAGAAAATAAATTTTTAGAATCCTTGAAGATTCGTCAGTAGAAGTTGATCAGAAAATAATGTTTGCTTTGAATGGAGTAATACAGTTATAAATTATCATAAAACATTCCACATATATATCAAAGCTGTATATAAACGCTGTAAGAGCTTTGGGCTCTGTACGTAGACTGAACATCTTAACTTCTCAGGACTTAGTGAAGCTGTTTTTCAAGGCTCGGCCACAAG